AGGCAGAGGTGTCTGCAGAGCCTCGCGTGTGGCCCACTATGTGAGGTTAGGGAGCGGAGAGAGGCTGGCTGTTTTGAAAGGCTTCCTTAGGGCCTCGTTCAAGTGAGAGTGACCGGGAGGCTGAGCTGCACTAACAAACGAAACAGAGAAAGGCCTCCTCTCATTGCACTGGGCTTCCCTCTCGGTAACTAATGAAAACGTGTTCTCGGTGACACGAGGGTGAACCGGAGACACTGGTGAGAAGCCGAGCGAGACAGCAGGGACCGGACCAGCCATCCCCACCTGCAGGGGAAGGCAGAACCGTCCTTTCTCCGAACAGCCTCCCTCCACAAAGGCGTTTCCCCGCAGGAGACCGCCTGGGACACAAGCAACACAGCGCGGCCGGTCCGTCCTGCTCACACTGTGGCCCCGCGGGGACAGATGGCAGCACAGGGAGGCGCCTTACTGGGCATTAGTTGGGGGGAGGGAAAAGCGGCCTGCAAAGGCCTCTCTGAAGGAACCAGGCTTTTCCTCCAAGAGCTGTGGGTGGGAGGCCATCAAAGCAAGCTGTGGGTGCTCCGTGCGGGAAACCCTCCGAAGAAGGCGAGGACTGTCAGCTTCGGTAGGTAGGCGGCTGGGGGGTCTCTCTTAGATGCCCAGAACAGACGAGAGCTCGCCGTGGAGATGACAGGAATGCGGTCTCCAATGCAAAGAAAGCCCGCATTGTGGACAGTGCTGGCGCAGGTCCAAACCCTCCCTCTGTCCTTTGAGTCACTGGGAAATGGTTAACAAACGGGCTGAACACCTGGGCCGGTCACCCCCGGAGGGGATTTCCACCCTGTGCTTTGCAAAACCACCTCTTCCCTTTCCCAGGCCGGCCAGTGCCACCCTCTCCGCAGCGGGCCCTGAAGATCCCAAGTTTCCTAACTTCGTCGCAGGCTCCCCGAGCGAGAGCGGTAACCGCCGCGGACACAAAGGAAAAGGAGCCAAGCAACCCTGTGCCTCCTCGTTTGTTTGGAATGACGAGGCGCAGATGTCCAGCGTCTCGAACCGCCACACACTGTGGATTTGGCTGGCAAACCCTCTCCCTTGCCTCCGTTCCTGTTCCCACGGCCGGCCACGCGGCGGCTCCCTCTCCCGGGGCCGCGGTTCGGGCCGGGCTCCCGGCGGCGACAGAATTAGAACCTCAGGTCCCACAGGACCCGGGTGTTTGGGCGGAGCGCGGGGGCCTCTGAAACGACGTCTGCGTGTGTTTAATTTAGAAGCATCGACACCCACACAGCAAACGCAAGGCCAGTCGGTCAGAGAGAATGAGCAAACAGTTGGCACCTGCCTATCCCAGCACCGAGCGATTCTAAAGGCCATGAGCAAGCATCTGCCCAGCACGGGTTTTGGTCACAGTCCCTCTCGGGAGCACAGGGCAGCTATGCAAATACATGTGGCTTATTTGCTGCAATCCCAGGCCTCACCCCCAGGGCACACGCCTTACTACCTCAGGTGAACCCTGGGCTTGGCTGGGGAGGGAGGGACAGGAACCCAGGCCCCTGACGACCCGACGCTAATGACTCAGCTGCTTCTAGAATTTTCAAGTACATTATGTGCTTTCTCGTTGCCTTCGGCAATAAAGCAACAAAACACGTCGGGTGCCAGCTTGGTGCAGCATTTGGTTTACCGTGTGTTGTGGGAGGCGGAAAGGCTCTGATCAGTGCGAGTTAGGGATGGGAGGTTACTTGGCTTTAAAAAATGGCTGTTCAGCTCCTGATGAATGTGCTCCTTTTGTGAGCACATTAGTAACTAATTATTAATGAATCAACAGATTTTTGTGTTTTTCTAGCAGAAATGAGACTTTGAGGCCTATTGAGGAAGATCTCGCCTGCCACCGGGCCAAATTTTAAAAACCCTGTTTAAAACCTATTTACACTCATTGAATCTGGCTAATCTAGGTAGAGTTTCGAACAAGGAACTAAAAGCTGGTATCCCTCCCCCCCCCCCAACTTCCAGACTTATTACTTAAAAGGCGGGAGGGTTAGAAAAGTTACTTTTCAATGATTTCACAGTATATTTGTGTATTGGTGCTTTGTACCTTATCTAGGCTAGCTGGGGGCCTATTTTCAGATTTTAAAAGATTTTTGCCTTGTTAATAAAGTCATCAGTTCACTAATTTGTGTTTTTCTCTTTAATCTGTACCCTGGATTTAACTTCTTTAGACAGAGTATTTCTACTCCAAAACAAGGGTGCATGTACTAAAAACATTTTTAAAAGTTTTTGGAGTAAGTGGAATGTTGTAAAATTCTAGTATGTGTATCAAATACTACCTTTGATAAATTAAAAATTGGGGACATGCATTTATGGCAGTATTTCATATTTTATCCAATTTAATCCTTCAGTCAACCTGACTACCTACATATTTTTAAATAGATGAAATCTAGGCTGAGTTAAAAACTTAAAGTAGGCGAGTCTCACGCTGTCCCACGGAAGCTACAGGGACAGCACATGGGCTGAGCTTGTTTGTACAGGAGCCCTTGCTGCTACATACACGGAATTAACCAGTGCGTTCCAGAAACTTCCCCCAGCGCCGTCTTTTCCTGGATTTCTAGAGAATGGGAAGAGTGGCCGTTATAGAAACGAAAGTAAAACTCTCCCCTGCTTTCAAGCCCCACACCCCGGAGGCTGTTCTCAGAGGGAATCAGAAACCACCCGTGTGGTTTGGAGGGAGCGCGCCTCGGTATGAGCTGATGCGTGGCATCGGGTTGTACTGTACTCCTTGTCAGTCACCGAGTTGAGAAGTGATTTCACATTGTAGATATTTAAGGCATAAAATGAGGCTTAAACAAAACAGAGATGGAATCAGAATTCCCAGGCCCTTTTTCTTTATTTGCAGTAACATCAAACATCCATTTACAACGTTTCTGGTCTCTCACCAGCTGGAATGAACCGGGTATGTCTCTGGGATCGTGTAGCTGCTGGCATCCACTTTTGATCTAAGAAAGGAACAGACACACACGGACACAGGCCAGCAGGACCCTCGGGGGCGCCACACCTGAGCACACAGTGAGGAAAGCAGAGTGAACCACCGGTCACCCTTAAGTCAGGCCCTCAGCCTAAGACACCACATTTCTCTAACACCCTTCCCTGAAATAAATCTACCAATAAAGCCCAAAGGGTTAGTTAGTACAAGTGCACCACTCATATTTGCTTTCCTCTTTTCTCTTTAGACAAACACAAAGATGCAAGAAACAGATGAAACACAACCAGAAGCTGACTTAGAACCTTATACTAACCCTGAAGAGTCTAAACATGGTTTTCATGTGAATCTGCTTAAAATAAAGCCTTTGGGCACTGCTCTTTAAGTAAGATAACAGTCACACTGCCAGGAGTCCCTGGATGGAAAAAAAATGATCAATAACCTTTTCAAAACCCACAAGGCAGGTGGCTTAGGCTTTATTTACTGAGCTGTGGTCATGGACACTATCCCAATTTCCCCACAAAATCCTTCCGACTATGCAATGCCATGGCATAAAAGACTCGAAGTGCCACTGAACGTAAGGACAGAGGTTTTGTTTTTTATCATTAACCATGATCTTGGGTAATGTCTGAATGGGAACATTTGATATGGATGGTCAGATGAAAGATACCAAAATGTCAGACAGCCCATCGACTGCTGTTGCCATGCGATTCAACAGTCAACATCAGTCTGATAAGCTACCCGACAAGGTGGCACGGCCATGGAGATGTCACGACGGGAGCAAAACAAGCAGACAGGCAGGCAGGATTGGATCAAGCACACCAGGCACTTCTGGCCTGTGGAAATTTAAACCCAATTCTATTCTCAACATAATGTCAGCACCAATTTTCCTAAAGGAAGAAAGTGAAATGGTTTATTTCCCTCTCAAGCAAAACAAAACGATCAAGTTCAACTTGAAACGTCCCGAAAGAAAAACACATAAGCACAAAACTGAAAAGGACAATAAAATTAAGTTACAATAAAAGAAAATTTCTGTTAAAACAGAGTACATACTGAGCTAAAATGAACACCCGAGAAAAGTGTAGTTTTTTTTTTTAACGAGTTATTTCTCTCTCCCGTGTTGACTTGCATTCAACCCTCTCTACTGCTTTCACAATCCAAGAAATCTGAGAAATCCACTCATGACATCGTCCTCCCGGCAGTCTCACCGGGTACAGCTAGCTGTCCGATTCCAGCAACAAAAATGGGCGCTGTCTCTTTCCACGCAAACAAACGAAGGCTTAAGAAATGATGGCTGTGGGTGGATTTGGCAAGGCTGCCATTCAGCTGGTAGAAGCTACTAGGAAGTAAAAAAATTCAAAACGCTCAAGAAAACAAACACAATTTTGGAATGATCAAAGAGGTCTTTATAAAGATTTTTTCACGACTTCATTCTAAATATACAGAATAAAAAATGGTGTCAGCTCATCCGTGAGACACCAACCAGATTTTCCTTACACTGTCTCAAAATTTTAAAGATCAATTCCCAACGGGGTGTGCAACGCATCAGAAAACGGCCTTTTTTTTGGTAGGCGGGAGAGGAAGGGCTGGGCAGGATGGCATATTAAATTGTACCATGATAGACATGCAAGACTGTCATTTCATCTAATATTTATATACATTTTGATGATTTAGAAAAACAAAGCAGTCATTTGTGACAAGCTTAAAAAGCTTGACATAGTTAACATACTTAGAACTTTTTTCGTGGTGTCTGGAATTCTTTAACTGTACTACGTGGGCCTTTTGAAAGTAACAAATAGAAGGCCCATTTCTGTTAAGTTTGCTGCTGAACATCCCAATCCACCCTCATAAAACACAGCTTGAATTGAATCGAGGGTGGACACCTTACCTTCACACACAAAGGAAAAGTATGTCAGTGCAAAATACGGACTAAACTGTGTTCAGGGGGAAAAAGTTAAACTGAAACAGGACGGAAAGGGAAGTTTTTCCTGCTGTGAGTCCTCCCAATTAAGGCAGAACCCAGCCATTCTAGCTCCTGCCGTTAAACGTTTCCTGCTTATTTAGTTTTCTCCTCTGATTTTATCCGCTGCTGGATCCTCTTGGCATAACTCTGTGCCATGGAGTTAATGATGGACAGGATGAAGTAACACACCATGGCAATCACCAGCTTCTCGAACATCCAGGACAACCAGTTTTCTCCCTGCAGGAAGAAGCGCAGAGTAAGCACAAGAGACACTTCATGGTTTCAGCACTAACACAGGGGTCATCTGCAATGTTTTAGGAAAAGTAATGAGACCGTGGGAGCCTAGAGCCTAGAAACTCTAAACAATTAAAGATGAAAAGCCTCCTCTCTGCCATTTTGGCCCCTTTAGGAAGATGTCACTCTGGCGGCTATAAAACCCATGTGGGTGCAAATGGTTCAGAACGGGCGGCTGTGGGCTGTGAGGCCGTTCCCTCCTCCCATCCTACGTAAGAATGAAGTCTGCAGACACTTGTACTGGGCAGTGCCAAAAGAGTTATATATTCTTGTTCCAGGATTGGGAGCAGCTTTTAAAACATAAATGTTATCAATTTCTGAAATCATGTTCGGTCAACTGAGGGCAGCACAGGGCCGCAGAGAGAGTCTTAACCAACCAGCCAAACCACCAACAGCCCCGCTCTGCTTCCTCCGTTTCCCCCCGGGGCTGCTGCTCACTCATCTCTTCCAGTCGTTTCCCTAGGTCACGGCTACTCACAGAAACGGCTTAGCTTAAATTAAAGGTTTTATGTTCAGGAAGAGCCTCAGTTTATTAAAAAATGATTACTTTCCCACCTCTGAAAAGAAAAAGAGTGCAAAGACGAAGGGAGATGCTCCGGTGACCTCAGTTTTGTTAAGCTATGAATGTCAACGTTTAAGTCCATTCAGAAAGTATACTTGCTAATAAATAATTTGAGATCAAGGCAATAACTCATTCTACATAACAGGTCTACTATTCTCCACTAGCCCTGCCCTTGATTTCGGGAGATGTATAAAACAGAAGTTACATGTTCTGATTTGGACAAATTTCCCAGTCGAGTCCATGGAGCCTCAAGGTCTGGAGGGACCACCTCACTCCACTTGGGCCTGAACAGTGAGTCCAGCCGACACGGGGGGGGGGGGGGGAAAGGGGAAGAGGCAGGGGTCTCACCTGTGGGGCGCCCGTTTCACTTCTGTGGTGAAGCTTCTGCCGCTGGGCCTCCAGGTACTCCTGGAATGGCTTCTGCAGAGACGGACCTATGCCGGGGACAGCACTGGAGGCGGGGACAACACCCCAAGGAAAAAGGTACATTTGGGAAGAAAAGAAGGAAAAATGTTAAGGAAAAATCCACTTACCGCCGGGATTCAGAAAGCAGGGATTGGTAGAAAGAAAAAAGAAAAAAAAGAAAAACTATCAGCAGAGCTGGTGAGGTCCTGAGAACTCTTTACCAGCCCCTCACAGGGGGAAATCTCTCCGCCACCAGGCCTGGGAGAGAGCAGGAGCGCAGCTCCTGGCGTCGGCAGCAGAGTTCACCCTCAGAGTGAGGCCGGCTCGGGAGGCTGCTGGCTGGTGTGGCACAAAGAATGAAATGAATGACTTCTGAGAAGTCCCACATTTATCACCACCAGTTCCTGTAAGAACTGGTTTGAACCGATTAATAAGGAAATGACTTAGGCTTGTGTCATCCCCAGTTGAAAAAGAAAACGCCCGCCCTCTCTCGGACTTGCCCCATCTTCTCAGAGGGGCGGTGCTTTCTCAATCGAAGTCCTTATTAGGACAATCTGTGCGTCATCCCTTCCCAAAAAGAATGCGTTCGCAAATCTGGGAGGCACCTCCCTCCAGTCAGAAGTCAGTGATTAACAGAGAACAAAGAAGGAACTGTGAACCTTGAATCACTCCCCGGCTGTGGGAGCCGTTTGCGCAGAAACTGCGGCTCATCACCACCAGCCGCTCCGGCTGGGCCGGGACCTCCGGTAGCTCCGTGTGCCGGCTCCCTCGCCCGGGGGGGGGAGGCAGTGCAGTCAGACCGGTTTGGTGACGGTGACCGCCGGCCTCCGTTTTAGAAATGCTCGCAGGCGCGTCTTAAAATGGTGACTTGGGGCAACTTAGAAAACCAGACACCTGTTTTCCTGCCCCTTTATTTTCCCGTCAGTCCTACAGGCTAAAAGGTGATCACACCCAATCCCTTTCCCGGCCGGCAAAAGGCATTTCAACATGTGCCTAAGGCGCTCCCTTTTCAGCAACTATTAGTTTAACTCCACCTGATTTCTAGAACAATCCAGTTGCTGCTTTCTGTAATAAAAAGCAGAGGAATAAAGGAAGATATTTTTTTTTTTTTTGCTATTATATTTACCAGAAGCTAACAAATATTTAACTCCTGGCTGACACCTTTCTTTAATCCTTTTAATTATAAACCACCAAACACTTAATGAAGTCCTTATTTGTGTCCAACACTGTAATTGGTGCCAAGGGATGGGGGGCCAGGACAGGGGGAGAGGTAATCCATGCCCACAAGAGACTTAAAATCCTTATGGGGATTACACACACACACACACACACACACACACACACCCCAATTTGGGAACAAAAGAATTTACAAATCAATACTTAATTTTTTGGGTACAGAGACACATTCCAAAGGAACTGGAGGGAGAGGACTGGTGTGGGGGGAATGCCGGAGGAGGGGTAAACAAACCCTGAAAGGACAGATGCAGCAGCGGCTGCACTGGTTAGCCATCTGAGATGGGGACGGGCGAAGTCTCCTGGCCTACAGTCCCAGTCTCTCTCTCACTGACTTTTTAAAAGCTGAATTTATTGGGGTGACACTGGTTATTAAAATCACATAGGCTGAAGGGATATGACTCCATACCACTGCATCTGTATGTTGTATCATGTGTCCACTCATTGACTTTCAAGTGGCCTTGCACTGAGGGATAAACCAGCAGAGCTGAGTCTGAGCTATGTTCCTGCTCAGTTATCACTGCTGACTCTGAATAGGAGGGGCAACAATAGTACAAACTTTCTCTTCAGAAGAGAGATTTTCCTTGGGTAATTCTTTCTATAATGCATATAGGAATGCAAATACCTCACCATTTACACTTGAAACAAACCACATGAATATAAAAGAGAACAATCTTAGTGAAATACACAAAGACTGGCTTTGAGGACTGCAGATTTACAAGACATTTCCTTCAGATATCGAATCATTCACACTTAATACCTATGTCATTATTTTAAATACCCAAGGATAGCATAGTCAAGCCATTAATTTTTTTAAATATGAAAAAACCTCTTTCATTTAGAAAGGCTGAAATGATTGTATGCTAATTTATTAAACAGCTAGGTGTATAAGAAATGGCTTGAAAATTCCCTTTTTGATGCCCACCAGGTGCTGGATTCCATTACATGAGCCTTTTTTACAAAATTATTTTTAGTATGCCCTTATTGATCTTAGAGAGAGAGGAGAGAGGGGAGAGGGACAGAGAGATAGAAACATCAATTGCCTCCTTATCCCGCCCCCCCTCCCCCACACACTGGGCATGTGCCCTGACCAGGAATCCAACCTATGACCTCTTGGTTCACAGGTCAACACTCAACCACTGAGCCACACTAGCTGGGCCATTACGTGTGCCTTGGTCTTCCTTCAGACCTTTACCTTCCGAATGGAAGTGAGCACAAATATGGTTTTCAATTTAAAAAAAAAAAAAAAGTATTTTATTGATTTTTTTATAGAGAGAAAGGGCGAGGGATAGAGAGTTTGAAACATTGATGGGAGAGAAACATCGATCAGCAGCCTCCTGCACACCCCCTATTGGGGAAGAGCCTGCAACCAAGGTACATGCCCTTGACTGGAATCGAACCCGGGACCTTTCAGTCTGAAGGCCAATGCTCTATCCACTGAGTTAAACCTGTTAGGGCAATATGGTTTACAATTTGCCTCAAATCATACTTGGACTCCAGGGTCAAGTAATTATTTACAGAGAAAATTAAGAACCAAGACCCAAATGCTATTTGTTTTTGTTTCTGAGGAAAATGAGGGAGGGCCTGGCAATCATTCTAAATCCCCTTCGAAAGAGTTTGAAAAGATAGCCGAAACCGGTTTGGCTCAGTGGATAAAGGGTCAGTCTGCGGACCAAAGGGTCCTGGGTTTGATTCTGGTCAAGGGCATGTACCTTGATTGTGGGCACATACCCAGTAGGGGGTGTGCAGGAGGCAGCTGGTCGATGATTCTCTCTCATCGATGTTTCTAACTCTCTATCCCTCTCTCTTCCTCTCTGTAAAAAATCAATAAAATATATTTAAAAGAAAAAAAGTTTGAAAAGATAAATGATTTTCCATTGGAAATCCGCTTTAGCTGATAGAGAATATATGTCTTTATATATTTATAACTTTCAAAGAATTATCCTGCGGGGGGAGGGGAGGAAGAACCATGTTGGGCTGACGCTGAGATGAATTTCTCCAGTTGCTATGGCATTACAGTGCTTTGGAGAGGTGTTGGTGGTGGGGTGGGAGCTGCAGTTTCTCATAAGAGACTAGGAAAATAGTTGAAAATAGAGAAATTAAAAGTTTTCATTGCAACATATTAATCAACATTATCATGAACAGATACCACATGATCTGAATAAACTTATGGCATAGAGCAGATGCCTCAGCTTAACAAAGCACTCTTATACTAGAGTTTTCTTAACACTACAACTATTTTAGTAATGGACTAGACAAAAAATGAAACCACAGCTGTCACTATTAGCATGCATTTAAGACAAATATTAATGCCAGCCTACAGCTTCATCTTTCTAGTTATAGTCAAGCAGCGGACAAAAGTGAGAGTCTGTTCTGACATGGAAGGTTAGCGGTTGGTTTAAGGCATGCATGGGAGTGGGGCGGCAGCTGGAGGAGTGACTTGCACGGCAGGTGGGTGGTTTGTGTAGCTGGCTTAGGAAATAGCTTAAATGCCACTCTCGAAAGCCATTACACTCAGAGACCCTCTGCACCTGGCTGGGAGCTCTCCTCTCAGCCCACAGCGAGCGGGGAAGTCCTTTGTGTGCTGAGTAAATTCAAAGTTCTTACAGTTTTGTGATTATAATAGAAGGAGAAGCAACACATAGACCTATTTCACAGTCAACTGTTGGACTAAAATGTGCTTCACTTAGCTCTGTAAATAGCCAATTTCTCTCTGAGAGGAAGCTGTAAATAAAATAAGAAAAGAAACACTAAAATCGATCTCATCTGCTTATTCTTGCTGTAAACCTTCAACATGGTGGGTAGAAAAGCTATATGATACTAATATCTTGGAAATTTATATTCCTGGCACACACATTTTTCAGCTAATATTAACTCATTAAAAACAAAATTTCCAACAAATTAATCTGATGGCAGTTTTTGAACTTTTGCTATGGATTTTAATAAAGGAAAAGTTAAATAAAACAAAAAAAAAAAAAAAAAAAAGAAAAAAGAAAAAACGAATAAAATGCAAAGGCCCAGGACAAAAGTAAAGGAGAAACCGCAGAAGTCCAAAGCCACCCAGCGCTCGGAAGTGGTTTTGTGGGAACAGTATTGTGCTGTGCTTTCCATCCCTAAGGATGTGTTACAACAGAAACAAGACAAACTTCTTCACGAAATTCTGTCAAGGGCCCTGACTGTATATGCAAACAAAAGCTATTAATTTTGCAGTTTTTAATACATATGTGACTCTGCTTCTGGAAATCACTTATCCGATAAGAAATATATATATATATATATATATATATATATATATATATATATATATATATATATATATATAATATATTTTATTCATTTTTCACAGAGAGAAAGGGGGAGAGATAGAGAGCTAGAAACGTCGATGAGTGAGAAACATCAACCAGCTGCCTCTTGCACACCCCCTACCGGGGATGTGCCCGCAACCAACGTACATGCCCTTGACGGGAATCGAACCTGGGACCTTTCAGTCCGCAGACCGACGCTCTATCGCTGAGCCAAACCGGTTTTGGCAGAAATCTATATATTTTTAAAAAATATATTTTTATTGATTTCAGAGAGGAAGGGAGAGGGAGAGAGATAGAAGGGATATATCAGTGATGAGAGAGAATCATTGATCAGCTGCCTCCTGGACACCCCACACTGGGATCAAGCCCAAATTCTGCCCTGACTGGGAATTGAACCACGACCTACTAGTTCATAGGTTGATGCTCAACCACTGAGCCACACCAGTTGGACAGAAATCTGTATTTTTAATTCTCCCCGTATTGGTCCATTAGGAAGGTCTACATTATT